TTTCACTGCCATATACATAGATCGGGCTCAAACAGTGATGAACCGGGAAAAATTATTCGCACCTAATTTTTTTGTGCTTTCTTGTTCAAAATATAGTAATGTATCTAAAAGTTCATCTTGCCACCCAAGAATGTGGTCAGTTATTGTTTAAACAGTTTTTTTTATAAACAATTTCGTCAAAGTTGTTTTTTCGACCTGAAAAAAATATTCTCAGATTATTTGGCACATTTGGAACAAAAAACCAATTGAAATGTATATACCTAAGCCCCACTGTTTTCGAGTAAAAAATTCCCAAAGTTTCAAAAAATGCATTTTCTCCAATTTTCAGAGCTCCACGACAGTGTTAAATAAACTCATTTTCATATGTTACAACACTAAATTATAAACTGTAAACCTTCCTCTACAATCTCCAAAAAATAAAATGTCGAAAAGTTGAATGGCAAGATTTTTTTTTGCAATAAACGTTCAGAGCGTTTTAGCGCGCGCTCCCGCGTGAGTGTATACCTATATATACGTTTCGTGGCTCAGCGTGTAGTGAACATTTATTGCAAAAAAAACCTACCTCTCTCGCAGGGGCCAAAATATTCATCACCTAACGTGAATTTACTTTGGCGATTGGCGCTCCAAATTAGTTGAAACACCTGCAATTGCATCCCAAGCTGTGCTCCCGACTAAAAGTAATCAGATTCAATATTTTTTCAATGTCATTTTAAACGAGAAAAAACGAATCGCGTTACTTGTATTGTTGTGACGATAGAACTGTACTAGGTACTACTACATTATGTTTGAGTAATAAAAATCTACTATGCGATAACACCTAATTAGCAAACAGGTATGGCATAAATTGTCGTGGTTGAATAGTTTTTTTGTTGAATATTCACAAATTTGAATAACCGAATAAGTTTTATGTTCTGCGAACAACGCGTGGTATCAACGACAGCGAGATCCGACATTACTCACGAATAGTGAAAAGTATACATTGCTATGAGATTTTTTTCAACGATGCTTAGGTAGAGAAATGAGTATTTTTGTAATGATTTCAACATTAGCAGTTAAACATCGATGAGTATTTGTAAGTGTAGTCAGGTTGTACTTTTGTATCGATTTTTTTGCGACAGTATGCGTTGTGAGTACAGTTTTGTGACAAATGTCCTAGGTACGATTGTAACGGAGTACCTACGCGTATAGCAGGGTGACCAAATATGGCGATTTATTGAAAAAGTGGGGATTTTTTACTTTCGTTGGCGATTCAGTTTTCAGACTTAGCAAATGGTGACTTTTTGGTGATTTTTCAATACCTCGTTGACGAATTTACGGCTATTTTACGCAGTATTAATAAGTTGAATCAACTGCCTCATGCAAATAGGTCGAACTTTCTGATGAGAATACATATAGAAAAGTGACTAGTGATGAATCGCACACAGAGAATAGCTTTTTTTCGTACAATCATTGTTATGATTCTATTTTTCATTTAATATTCTTGTGTTAATGACGCTGATATCAAGAAAAGTATAGATAAATATTTAATAGAATAAAGTTATAAGCTTTATGAGCAAGACTTTATGTAAATCATTACCAATTTAAAAAAAAAAACAATGATAGTCATGTTGCTTGCAATGTTAAAATATGAAAAGAAAAACTCAAACGCATGTATCAAGCTAAACTTTATACCATCAGAGAATATGCAAACAAATTTGAATTACAAAATAGTGCGCAATATGTTTTACGTTTAACACAGTAAAAATAGATGGATGTTTATTTGAAAGAAAGGTTGAATTTTTAAATTAAATAAAATTTAGAATTCTTTAGTTAAAATTAACTTGACAAAAACAGAAAAATTTCATTCCAAGTATTAAGCTTCATCAATGATTAACTGAAGCGAGGTGAAAATTCCGAAATAACATTTATCAACAATATATAAGGTATATATATGTAAACGTTTACGAAATTTTGAACTTTGGTGAATTGGTCGTTGCTTATAACTATTCGTAAAACACTAAGTCATCATTATTTACATGTATGATAAGGAATACACTGAACGGTATGCATATAATCTACAAAACTATCATACAACCGTAAGCCTTTTTATGAGTCAATTATTGCAGTGTATGAATATAAATGTTTGATGAAATATTTTGACCGATTGCAACACATAAAAACACACCACTTTTAATTTCATTGGTTCTTCTTGGTTGTAAGGCAATAAAAGGTGCCATATTTTATGTTTTTCGTTACGTTTATGTTCAATTTTTCCAAAAAAAATTTATTTTGCCTCATGATGGATATTATTTGCAACAATAGTTATTTTAGATCATATTTTTATATCTTGTATAACGCCAACTAAAGTAAAATCTACTGCGGTACTACAATTTTTACCATTAGCCGTGTCATTGGAACTAAAATTTTTCGTATGACTTAGGACTTGTGTGTTTGCCAATACTTTTAGCAAATACGTGTTATGTATAAGGTCAATGTCCAAATAGACCTCACCATCATGATGAATCACAAACATTTCGGTAATTCCTGCTACAGCTAAAAGATAATTGTGTAAGAGTCATAATTATGTTCTTCCCAGGCGAGTGGGAAGAAAAGGTGTGTCATCAGGAAATACAGTATACAGAGTTCATGGCCTACCCGTTTGACATCGAAAAACAAAAAATCAACGAGCAATCATCGATTAATGTACGTATCCGATTGAATGAACATCGTCCATCTCTGCCAATTCATTCATCAAAAGAAAAAAAAAGAGAAAAAAAGAAAAAAGAAAAGAAAACAATGGTGAAAAATGTGTCGCGAAGGCTCTTGCAACAACTGCTCCCCCAAGAAACTCGCGGCTGTACAAACACTCGGCAATTATCTCCTCGGCAATGAAAACAGATACGATTGCGTGTTTATCCCTCGTAAAGCTGAAAAAGATACCGAAAAGTTAATCGGTGCTCGAGCATCATCGGCGCACACACACACCTGTTGTTGCCGATAATATTTCCCGCTGGCTGTATTGTACGCAGATAGGCTCGCACCCGATCCGATCGGCTACCGCCGGGGCAAATTTTCCACTCGGTGCAATGATTGCGAGCCGGTACCTATACACGGAGTACGTTGCGAAAAACGATAAGACTCGTCGCAGAGCCTCGTCAACAGTTTGCTCGAGCGAAATATTGGGTTACCCACAGTCGCGACGTCTCCTCGCAATTTTTCTCGGAAGAGAAAAGACCCGATGTACCGGGCGACTCTGTAACTGGCGAAAGAAAATAACACAATATCAGGCAGGAAAGACGACACCGCGAGCCGTTGGGAAGCAGTGGTCGCGAAAACGGAGGCATGAGGTTTTTTTTTTTTTTTTTTTTTTTTCTCGATACGATGCAGACAAAGATTCCTTCGAACGGAAAAACGCTCGGCGAGCTGGAAATGCGTGCAAGCCTTCGGTATTAATTGGACTGGCCTCAAAAGCCGCGAGGCGCTAACTTCCTTCGAGGCAACTGCTCGTGCGATAATGCGCGGCGCGCGGATTCACGATGACTCTATTAGTCCTGTGCGTTGCTTAGATTTAGATGCCACCACCAGGTGGAAATCCAACCAGACCGTGGATGGAAAAGTATCGTCCGCCCTGGCAGCCCAACGCGTGTCCCCCACCTGTGAGTTAATGGAAAATTCGTTGCAACGGTTATTATCCTCGTGTCCGTCAAGTCGTGCGATGCATGAAACTCCTCGCAGTTGCAATAAAAACGGCAAAACCAGTTTGCACGGAATGTCGTGCGTGACGTGTAGTGTGATAATATCAATTGTCACACTCGGTGGAATATTCCGACTACCGAACGAGTGTGGTTGTAACGAGTTTCTTTAATTAACGGCGGAGAATTTCAACCATCTAGTGAACAGGTGTTGTCGATGACTGTGAATCGCAACATCGATGACTTTAGTGACATGGCTCACAAGACTATGCTGTACACGTTAGGGTGCGATCGTTGTTATGGAGAAAAAGTCGTTATCATAATTTTCAGTTTCAAACGAACGTCCATGAGGAACCTTTTACTGATTATTATTGATGATTCGTATGATAGAAAACTTTGGCTCGTTATTGTAGTTTCATCGTTTTGTAATTGTACGAGAGAAATACGGCTCAAAACAGGAAAGTTGGTTAATTACTGTAAGACGATTACTTTGTCAATATTTGAACCAATTGTGAAAATCATCGGAAGAAATGTACGGCAATGAGATCATGATAATGTACTCTTTTCAACTCTTTGTTGTTGATTTCGCGTCATTTCAGCGATGAGCTGTAGTAAAAATTGATAAAAAATGTAAACACAATGGTCTTTTAGTTTCCTCAAGAACCCAGAATCTCATTAATTAATCTTCCTCTTCATAGTTCTAGCATAATTTCGAAATCAATTGTAAAACCATAGTCAAATTTTCCTGCAGTTTCATATCGTAATTACATCAATTTGCTAATTCAAGATGAGTAATAACTATAAATTAACGCACTTGGCCCAAGTGAGATAAAACGTGCTACACTCCTTGCAGTAGCAAACTTCGCGTAACGATAGCGCCTAGAAATCCGTGATATAATCTTTGTGATGGTCGAATGTATTATTTATGGACAGTTATCACTCTACGAAACCGCATTCTCGAAAAGTATTACTAATGCTTTCGAAATCCCACTTGACAACTACGAAGAAATCCAAAACCAAGAAACAATTTTTTTTATGCACACCATTTTCATATAATGCAACAATTATCTGCTATCCTGGCAAACATTTTTGCTGGTAACGGCGATACGCAAGAAGAAAAAGTGACCGATCGCGATTAGTGTACTCCAACGCGAGCCGCGTTTACTAACAACCACCCCCGTGTTCGCCTGATGAAACGCGGGATCAAAAGCTTCCGTGAAAACGATCGAAATCGGTAGCGAAACTTAAAAATGGCCAGAAACGAGAGTGAAAAGGACCAATATCTGGAATATAAAGAAAGCCGCGAATAAAGAGAACGGAGGAACTTACCGTGCTACCGGTGAAGGCGTAATTGTCGTGCGACATGTTTCGGCGTTTTACAACGTGGCTTTCCAATGCTGGCTCAAGAGTTGGTGAAAAAAGAGAGAGGTACAATCGAAAGTGACAGCGCGGGAGTAAAAACGACGACAATGGTAACAGCCGGCGGGCAAAGGTTTTGTCTCACTCTCTCTCTCTCTCTTTATCTTCCTGGTCTCTCGAGAAAGTCCCCCACCCCGTCGTGGTCCACCGAAACGATTTGTTGCTGATATTACCAGCTATCAGCAACAACTTGGACTCAATTTTCTTTTTTTTTTTTTTTTTTTCTTATCACGAGTAGGTGCGTGCGCGCTCGTGTTGCGACAGGTAGGCCGGCCGTTCTTAGACTGATCGCAGCACCGGGTCACGAGTATTATTTATACGGCATTACGCACGACAGAAATTTTGCCGCCACCGCTTGTGCTCTTACCTACATACTTGCTTGCTGAATTGCGTCTACGTACGTACGTATCCTACTCCACTTGTACGAAATTATATGTACAACGTTTGTGTACGCGTATTAAAGCTCTGCCTTGGCCACTGCTACTTAAACTTATACTTGCTCCTCCTGGCGTATATTATCTCGATTAGGCGAATCGGCACCTATAGCTTCGATGTACATATACGTACAGAAAAAGAGAGTACTCTCGCGGCAGCTGTGGAGGTACGTCTGTACGTATATATATACACGGGAGTAGTGTATTTTGTTATGATTTTCTGTCGAGCCGTTTGGTGTCTTGCGGTCACGGACGACCACAACGACTTGTTACTCTGTTTTATTACCCTTCGTCGCTCGCACAAATGCGCTCACAGCGTGTATTTATTCTATGTACGCATTGTTGCTATTGTACTGGCCACAAATGCGTAAGTTGCCCGTGAAAAGTTTCCTCGACAGTTTAAGTGCTGAATACTTTGAAGCGTTGTTTTTTTGGTGTACTTTTGGTTTGAAATGTTTTTTCATGCCTAATGATTTTTCATGATGATTAGGGCGAGGTTTTTGTATTCTGATTGTTACTGAAACTTTGTCAGCATAATTTTGAGGTATGAAATGGGATGAAATGGGCATGGCAGTGATATTAAATTTCTTGATCTTTGCGCTTGTGTTTTCGTTACTCTTGTAGATAAATAGGTACAAAAAATCAAACGACTTTACCATGGGTACATATTTTTGACACATTATTTTCTTGCAAATGTCAACATCTTTTGACGTCTGAAAAATAGTTTACTGTAGGCTCATATACGAATCATGTGATTCTTTCTAAGCTTTTTTTTTTTTTTTTTTTGTCAAAGTCACATCTGTCAATTAATTTTTGATATTTTGTCGTAAAAGTAAAAAGATGTAACATACCTTATTTGCAAACAAATCAAGTACAGTGGCAATCCTTAAACAGCTACGCATACCTTTTTCTTTACATCATTACAGGAAAAAAAAATGTATCTAAAGTAGGATTCGCTAGGTTGTGTAAAGTTTTTCTGAATTCAACATAATAGATACAACAATGTAGCAGCTAAGTTTCATGATCCAGCATGATATACACTACAGAGGGTATCCTTGGTAAAGGAGGGGTAAAATACCCTTATTAAAATTTTTTTTTATTACTTTCTAGGTCACAAAATGAAAAGAAATCAAGTCCTATAAATCCTTAAAACAAATTTCCCGTTGCGGGAAACCCTAAAAAAAATAGTTTTCACGCTTTAATTTCTTTTTCACCTTGCAACAGTTAAAAAAATTTGAAAAAATTTATAAATAATTAGCACACAACTTTTTTTAACGAAATTTTTTTGGAAGTGGCTACCATAATCTTCAGAACCATTATTCAAGCATAAAATTGCAATTTTAATCACGGTAAACAGCTTAAAAAAATTTGATTTTTCCATTATATGTATTTTTGAAGACTTTTTTTTAGGAGGGTACCCATTAAAAAAAAAGATTTTTTCATTTTCCAGCTATTTTTAATTACTTTACTATAATTTTCATACTGTTTAAAACATAAAGAAAATGGCAGTACTCA